CGAACCGAAACCACCAACTAGCAAACTTCCCACGCAACAATTGGAAAAAAACGAAGTCCCCGTGATCAGTCCTCGAACCTAAATGCGACTGGTCTAAAAAAAACCCCTATGCTAGGGTTATAGGGCACCACCATGCCCCATTACTGACCAGCCCGACATAGACGGCAAGGAGTGCCTTCCTCCCTCGACAACTCCCATTAGCCCCACGCCCCTAGGTGACAGGGATAAAACCCCAGCAACGGCTGCGTCGAACGCGGTGGTTCTGCCTTCCTCCCTCAACAGAGCTCCCCAAGCCTCATGCTCCCCCAGGTTACAGAGCTACGCTCCAGCACCGGCCTGCGTCGTCCCAACCACGTCCTTCTGACCTACTAACGAAGACTAAGGCCCTTCCCCTGTTACACCCCTCTACGGACTTCCACCCGTCCGTGTGAATGATCTGCTTCCCTTAATCATATGTTTTTTTGTCAAAAAAAAAACCTAGTTGACAATTTGCAAAAAAGTCAAGGAGACTATAACAACCCTACTCAGGCTCGCCAACACAATCATACTCTCTGCCTGAGTCTGCCCACCCTCACACCCCCACCGCTAGGTTACAGGGCAACACAACTTACCCCAGCTCCGACCGACATCCTCCAAGCAGCAACCCTTGATTATTCTGTGAGATGCCCGCCCCTAAGCATCCCCAGATCTCTCTGCCAGGTCTCATGCTCCTGCTTCGCAGGTTACAGCATCGACCAGCGTCGTTCTGACATCGAAAAACCGTAGATCCACGATTATAACAACGACAGGCACACCTAAGAAGATTTGCTAACAGTCTCCAATGAGAAAAGCCTTATCAAAAAACACTAATTGGAACATGGAAAATCACGTCAAAGTTTGACACAAATCATTGACAAGTTTGAAAATCGAATCATGACAAATTAGAAAATAGAATCGTGACAATTTAGAAAATCGATCTACGACGAAATTTAGAAAACCTATATGAACTATTATTAGCAATTACGAATAGGATGTCCAAATAGGACTTTCGATAGGTTTTTTGAAAATCAACATCAGAAAAAAATTACGAATTAGAATACCTGACTATAATTGTTCTTTGGGAATCTGAGATAGAAAGTAGCTCAGAAAATTTACCAGATGTTGTAATCTGAAGACTAATTTAGATGTTTATATGAGTACGGAACAAGATAGTCAATTGTGAACTTCGACCATCAATTTATGAAAAAAGGAAATTACAAATTGAGAATCAGACAAAAATAAGACAAAGGCCAGATTTACAGATCATCCGTCAGATGTCGAGATTGACAACATTCATTTCAACATCCAAGAAAATATCAGGAAATATCAAAACACCAGTGAGACATCCCTAACCATCAAATCATCTAACGGAGTAGTACTTTAGGGTTAAATTCTGAAAAAAGCTGCACTCAGAGCTTCCGTCGCTACGTGATGCCGCCTTGAACTTTACCTGAAATCACCAATCACTGCAGACCATCACGCACCGCTCCGCTCCCGCAGTCCCCTTATCTAGCTGCCCGATCGCTGCCCAGACCAAACTCAACCCCTGCCTCTTGCTATAGAAGGAGCCACTCCTCCTCCCCACAGTCGGTGCTAGTATAGCCTTACGACAAAGTGCACCAACCAGAAGAGATTATTGGGACGCCCCCGCCTCCCTTTTGCTCCCCGAACGCGGTTTGCGTTGTGAATGACCATGTCAAGCCCGTCAACACAGCTTCACAGAGAATTCAGTCCAGATCCAACGACCCATGACAACAAAGAACCGGAGAAGCGAGAGACAGAGATTAAACACAAAGGACAGAAGGAGTGGCGTGATAACCGTATGCCACGTGCCCCCCCCCACCCACACGACTACTCAAACCACATGCCCCTCAAACCACACGCCCCTCCTGTCTCCACATCCACGGAAGTCTCTAAGAAGCGCCATCGCCACAGAGGATATTGACTCGCCATGCCCTCGTGAAAGTGCCATCGCAGCTTCGCGTCTCAACGCGCGTTGGTGCACCCATCGTTCCAGCCCGACCCGCCGTGCCCTCATGAAAGCGCCATTGCAGCTTCGCGTCTCAACGCGCGTTTGTGCACTCGTCGTTCCGGCCCGGGCGGGCGCAGCGCTCCCGGTAGCGCTGCGCCCTTGTGTGAGTATGCCCTAAGAAATTACACGAGCTACCTTTCCGCTCCCATACAGCCAAAGTGAGGGTGCGCTGTGCTCGGGGGAAGACCGAAGAGAGAGAATGATTTTCGTCGCACTTGAGGAAAGGAGGCATTCCAGTTTCCAGGGGCCAAGTCCCAGTCACCCGAATTCTTCATCTCGGACTGTCAATCTGTGAAATCCTAGGGCCCTTCCCACAACACAAGCCCGCTACTTCCTCCCTCCCCTCTCCCCCCTCAATCCCCCCCCAACTCTCTTTCCTCCCCCGAGATTATCCACGGATCTACTTTTTTTTTCTTTTTTTTGTGTGTGTCATCCTTGCACAAGGGCCATGATAATCTTCTCTGTATCGTTCCAATTTTATCGGATGTTGAAGGACCTCGTTTACTGGCTAGCCCAGTCATCCAGGTCCCCCTCCTGCGGGCCCCCTCCTGCGGCCCCCCTCCTGCCTTCTGGGGATTCGTGGATCTACTTTCGGGGAGCAGAAACACCTTGTTTACTGCAGTATTTCACTCGTAACCTGCTCCTGGCCACCTGCCTAGCCAAGCCAGGTGAACTGTGGGTTTTTCCAGGGGTAACCCGGGTTAATCACCTGGCTACATAGTTTTTGGGGAGCCCAGGCAAGAAGCAAACGGGCCATAAGCACGGAACTGCCCTACCGTCTTCACCCCAATAGAACGTCCGGTCATTATAGCTGTATTTGGCACAACTTTCAGCCCAGATACGACGATAATTACCGGGCGTTCCATTTGGGTGAAGACGGTAGTAGCCAGGATGTGGACCTAGCTCCAGCACTCATCAAACACCATTTTTGGGGAGTCTGCGGTTGCTCCGCCACCTCGCCACAGCCGTCTCACAGAAAATAGCAGTCTTTCTTTGTGGAAACTTGGCCGTGGCGGGTTCTCGGCACACTCACCACACCATTTTGCTGGCCTGCAAGGGGGGAGTTGCGTTGCATGGGATCTTGGAACCACTACGAATGGTGAGCACTTGAGTCTTTGTGGGGAAGTACCGCGCTCTGCATGGTACGTGATTGAGTTGGTGAAGTGGTGGCCGCCTTTGGTGAGAAATGGGAAGGTAGAGGGCTGCTCTGCATGGTACGTGATTGAGTTTGGTGAAGTGGTGGCTGCCTTTGGTGAGAAATGAGAAGGTAGAGGGCTGTGTTTGGTACGAAATGGGAACTTCAAGGTGAAGTAGTGGCTGCGTTTGGCGAGAAATGGGAAGGTAGAGGGCTGCGTTTGGTGAGAAATGGGAAGGTACAGTGCTCTGCATGGTACGTGGTAGAGTTTGGTGAAGTGGTGGCTGTGTTTGGTGAGAAATGGGAAGGTACTGTGCTCCTCACGGTGAGTGGTTGAGTTCGGTGAAGTAGTGGAACGAGGGCTGCATTTGGTGAGAAAAGTCCCATGGTGGTGAGTGGTGGAGTGACTCAGAGGCCTTATACGTTTGAAAATGGCCAATTTTGACCTTAGGGCCTAGTTGCACCCTCTTTCTCCACCAAGATTTTGAATGCATCCGCACAGAGAACGTGTCCAGATGCATTTACAATATTGGTGGATGGCTAGGTAGTGGTGCAACTAGGCGCTCTCTACTATGAAAAGCTGTGAGACGCAAACATCCTGCTACATTCTGGCACTGCTGCTACTGTCTTCACCTAAATAGAATGCATGGTCATTATCACTGTATTTTCCTGTATTCTATCCGGATGAAAATGGTCCTCCGGAGATGTCCCAATTGATGCTGGCTGGTTCAGTGTGCGGGCGGAAGGAGGGAGGGGTTTAGAAGTAGCCCACTTGGCTCTGAAAGCCAGCCACTACAAGTGAAGACGGCCGTCTGGAGATGTCTGAAATGATGCTGTCTGGAGATGTCTGAAATGATGCTGGCTGGTTAAGTGCATGGGCGGAAGGAGGGAAGAGTTCAAGAGTGGCTCACTTGGCTCTGAAAGCCGGCCAGTACAGGTGAAGACGGCCGTCTGGAGATGTCTGAAATGATGCTGGCTGGTTAAACCACCAGTACTTGGCCCAGCCATTGGCCGCGGCGCTTCCTTGTTAACGCGCCGCGCCTTTAGGGCTTCGGGGTACCGGACCACAATGGCTGGAAGCGCCAGCCAAAAACAAAACGAAACGTACCCCGGCGCTTCGGCAAAAATCGGCGCGCAGGGGCATTCCAGGCTCGACATCGATAGCTGGGCCAAGTACTGGTGGTTTAAGTGCATGGGCGGAAGGAGGGAAGAGTTCAAGAGTGGCCCACGCTGCTCTGAAAGCCAGCCATGTAGCCGGGCCAGTTGGAGGGCAAGGCGTGCAGGTGCATGATCTGTATGTGGTGTGCGGACATCTAGGTGGATTCTATTGGGCTACCTTTGACGTTCAGGCTATGGTGGTCCTGGTGGCAATGCTCACCAAATGTGAAAAAGACAAAACCATGGGAGGTGTATCTTTCCACGTTCTACCAATACCTACCCCCCAGAAAACCACTCTGCAAGACCCCCCTTTGAGGGAGGAGCAACCCGTATTGTCGGCAGAGGTACGGCCACCATCTGCCCCTCTACCAGTCAAGGCAGTCGCTAAGCCCTATAAAGGCCCTCGGCTGCTGTTGGACCCCCCTTCGCCATCCCACCTGCAGTCCTGGCCCCTCAACGCAAGACCCTATGGTAACCAATGGCATCTGCGTGATTATCCAGTCCACCCAGCTATCTGTGTACCATATGATGACAGGCGCTTGAAGATTGGTCCACCTTTGAGGGCCAGGGGGGATTATAGGTTGTCCGTCCCCCCTTTCAACCCCAGCACAAGTGGGTCCTGAAGGAGTTCTGGGTTTTGGTGGTGGCTGGATGCAGGAGCTTCGAGAAATTGGAGTTGCGACGGTTTGGGGCGACCCATCTGCAGTTGGGGCTGTGGTTGGTTCCAAGCAGTTCGATGTCGTCATCGACAATAATGGCAAGGACATGGAAGCTGTGCAGTGAGTGATGGATCATGTATCACATATATCATATACGTCATATGAATCATACTGCCTAGGATGCTTGTGTATTTCGTTTATTCATTCGTTGCGTGTTTATTTGTTTGTTTTTGTTTGTTTGTTTGTTTGTTTGTTTGTTTGTTTGTTTGTTTGTTTGTTTGGCCATTTCTGTAAGCTTTTTGAGCACTCGGAAGGAGGGATGGACGAACGGGCCTAGCCTAGCTCAGTTGGTACACCCTTGGACTGTTGATAGGTGCTTGCAAATCCCAAAGTGCCGATGTTGGACTGGAATGTGCTGATGTTCGACTGGAATGTGCTGATGAAAATACAGGTTCGAGTTTGAATCCCTACGGAAGTAGATGAACCATGGTAACTGCAGACCCGGACACTGGATCGATGCAGACCGTAAACTGGACATATGTCTGGACTGATCCAGACGTTCAGAAAACTGGACAGTCACCAGACATCCAGACCATACCAGACCCGGACCGTCCAGATGGGGCTCCAGAAATGTCCAGATGGGGGGGGGGGGAGGCACGGAGCGGGGGAATGACGTACGAAGACAGACAAAAAAGTCGAGAACACACTCGGAACGAGACCAGTGTAGCTACTGCCACTTACCTAAGGCTTGTTTGAGATACATAGTCCTACAAACACATGGCTGGGACAGCGCAGCACGTGACTTACACAGTTTACAACGAACAACTTGACACTCTTACAGACATCCGAAAACACTCACAAAACACTTCATATTAGTTTATAGCAGACTAACAGTCACTAACTTATAAAGAAACTTCAACAAACTTGAAAAAACTTCAGAAAAGAGAGAAAAGTCAGCAAAACAGAATACTCAATTGTTTTGAAATTTGAGGTATTTAACTTTTAAGCTCGGTCCTCAGTAAGTTTTTTGAGCCAACTGAAAAGGCAGTTCAAACTTGTGCCGGCAGTTCAGATAGGTCGGTAGCTTATTTTGTGCAGTTTTGGCACAATGTGGCCCAGTTCCTTCCCAGGTACTGGGCTGTTCCACTTGGTTTGGGAAAACGGACGGGCACGGGCACCGGTCGTTCCAAATCGATTGGGAGACCGGTGCCCTTTTCCAGGCACCGATAGTCTCCTTCATGTACCACTGCGGCGCGCGCTCGGTCTGCACAAGGGGAGAGCTTCCACGTTTAGTCCACCTCCCTCTCTCTCTCTCACTCACTCATTGGGACATCTCTCTCTCTCTCTCTCTCTCTCTCTCTCTCTCTCTCTCTCTCTCCCCTTACCAGCCACATGTGTCAATGAGCATGCAGGTGTGCACGCGTGCGCTCGAGACAGAGAGACACACAAAGAGAGAGAGAGAGAGAGAGAGAGAGAGAGAGAGAGAGAGAGAGAGAGAGAGAGAGAGAGAGAGAGAGAGAGAGAGAGATCAGGGGCCATTTCCGAATGAATCTGGCCCCATTTCTGTGTTCGATCGAGTGCAGAATTCAGCGCAGAAATGGAACCAGGTTCCTTTGAAAATGGCCCCTGTTCTCTTGATAGGGATATGGCATGTTCCTCAAGCGGAGCACAGTATCAGAAAAGGCTGACTATGGCGAGCACTGAAATTGACAGTGCACTATGAAGACTGGAGTCGATGAGCTAAAGTCCAATTATCCAGGGACAAACTGCCCCCTTGACTGTCTCATAGGTAGCGAACATGACTCTCCCGCTGACAATGCCTGACACGATCAAATCCGAAGTCTAGCTTAACGACACCTGTCAACAGCTCTCCTCGTGGGCACTTGCTGTTGGTGTAACTGATCTTCGGCTTCTCTGAATCCACAGCCAGTCTCGCAAGTCAACCTTGTCTCACTATCGCTTCTCACCCTCGCTCTGCATGTTGCTTTGTGAGTCACTGTGCCTACCATGACTCAGGTGCAGTGCTAGCGACGAGTGCTCAGCACGAGAAGTTGCAGGAGCTTCTCCCCTCGCAGGTGTCTCTGTTCTGAAGAATGCTTTCAAGCTGTCACTAACCATTCGCCAATCTTGCAGGACCCTCGTCTCGACATCTGCTTGAGGTGAGCATCGCGAAAGTGTCTGATCTCTGACTGACCCATACCTCACATGACCCGTCGACTCCGTGTCGAGTGCATGAAGTCGATCCCCCCTATCAGAAGTTCTGTCTGCTCTGTCGAACTCAGTCCCCGGTTCTTCCTCAGTATGATGCACACACACTCCTGGCGAGTAGCTCACCCGAGTGGAAGTTTCAGAGAAAGAAACACTCTTGCGCTGCAACTTCCCACCCTCAAGACGTACGTGTCTGTCTCGTGCCACATTCTCCTTAGTCTTGTCTCTCATTCAAACTCAGTAACCTTTGCCCGGTATGTTTTCCTCTAACTGACTACCGTCTTCACCCAAATAGAACGCCCGGTCATTATCACTGCATCTAGACTGAAAATTGCACCAAATACAGTTATGATGACCGGGCGTTCTATTCGGGTGAAGACGGTAGCTACACGTGTGCGGATGTCTCTGCATCCAACACCTCAGTCACTTCTTCCTGACCTTGTCTGCGCCTACAGTCTAACCGTCTTTAGGGTCGTCCTCCCCCTCTTGCTGGCTCCACCTCCTCCCTCTCTTTTGCACGGGTTTCGCTCGCCTGCTGCCTCTCGTTTTCCAGGCCATGCCTAACTCGCATCTTGTCTTCACTCTCCTCGCTTTCTTTGTTTGGGATCAAGTCAAGCCTCCTCTACAGCCTTTCTGTTGAACAGGATGAGTCTGGCTCATGATTGTAAGTCAGGGACGTGCCCACCCTAGCCTCTTCTCTTTTTCCATATTAACAGCTTGAGTAATAGCAAGCATGAGGTCCTGATGGCTCATCTGGCTCTCAGTCTGTTCTCTTCCAACCTCCACCTTTATCTTCCCTTCCCCGTCTCTATACATTAAGGTCACTGTAAACTCAGATCCTACCCCAGAAAACGGTACATATCATGCCACTTTCTCAATAGATTCAACCACATAGTTGTCTAGCCCCCCGGAGCGTCCATAGCAGTGAACCCCTGCACAGCCTAATTACTGTACCTTGAGCCGAACTCTTGGCCGGTCCTGACAAACATGCGTGACTTCCACGAGTACGGAGGCTCTGCACTATTAGAGGGCCAACTGACAGAATGCGCTTGCCAGCCACAGACAGAATGCAAAAAGAAGGGTCTCAGTCTGACTCATGCCATCTGCTCGTTTCTCCATTTGTTCCACAAACTGCACTCTTTTAGTTAATAGTACTTGATACACATGTGACAGTATGATACTATAATGTAAGGCAGTAGTCCCTCGTATTATTGACATGTGTGTTCGTCTGATGGAATCAGAATCTGAACTCGTGATCTCATCTGTTTGAAACTGTGAACTGTTTGTTAATAGTTTCGGTCTGTCGGACAGTCAAGCAGCATGATAAGGACATGATGGTGTTGTTCTGTAGGTCTGCTCTGATCAGCTTAAAGTTTGGGAATCAAGTTTATCCAATTGAGTGAACCTGGCCACTCTTCATGAGTGCCAGCCTTTAGGAGAGCCAACGCCACTATAATCAGTATCTTAGCTAGGCTACCCGGGCTGCATGGGCAGGGGCTTGTGCAGGTCGCTCGGCGTCTGCATGGCCGGGGATACCCTGGGCACGTAAAATCTCCCCCTTCTTTTTTCCCCGGGGGGACGGTAGGGCTTATCTGCACCCAACTAAAGCAGCCCAGACCTCGGATCTTTTTTAGTTTTCAGTGTTGTCCGTCGGTGGGGAAAAGGGGGGTGTGCCTCAGTCTGAGTTTTTTTTTTAAATTATTTTTTTTATTTTAAATCTTCGATTCAACTTTTCTGCTCAGTGTGATCCTAGTTCCTCCACCACCTGCCATGCTTCGGCCTTGGTTCCAGCACTCGCTCTTATAGTGCCTGAGTTGTCCGCAACCATAGCACTTTCAATTGGTTCTGTTTTGTCTGCTCTGTGCACCCCTCTTGTCCCTCCTCTTCCACTGCTTTCGCCTCGATTCTAGCTTCGACGATCTGGTCTGTTCTATCCATTCGAGTATCCTTCGCTGTAGTTGAGGTTCAATCTGTTGTTTCCTGCTCGGTTCCGACTTCCATTTTCTCTGCCTCCGTTACCTTCGTAGTTCCATCCATTGTGCTTACTTCCTCTGCTTCCACTCATTGTTATCTTCTGACTATTATCACACTCGTCAGCGTCCGCTACACGCTTCAACATGGACTTATCCGGACGACAACTCCTCCAAGTGTCCGAGCGACCTGCTCTGGCTGGGTAAGCCTCTGTGTTCAGAGCTGCAATGAAACATAGAGGCCGATAACTGCAAAGCTTCACCCACAGACTTGAGGTGAACTCGAAAAGAGAAGAACAACGTGCGTTCTGGAAAAGAGCGATCATGATCTCCGTCAACCTCAATGATCGAGTCTCACCTCGCATGAAAGAAGAACAAGTAAGCTCATCGTAGTTGTACTGGCAGAGACCCAACCGGTTTTGACCCGTGCCAGTATCCGGTACTCGTCAGGGTGTGATTGATCTGAAAGGGTTTTGTAAGTGTAGTTCTCTCTTTAAATACTTCCAACTTTGGAAGTTCCTCCGTTTTTGCTTAAACCTCCCAGAACCTTTCTATCTGACCCTTAACCGACCCTTAACTGACCCTTAACTGACCCTTAACTGACCCTTAACTGACTCTTAACTGACCCTTAACTGACCCTTAACGATACGCAACTGAACCTCAACTAATGCCTTTAGCCTGACTACCTCGTTTACCCTTTTCACAAAATTCAGTTACCGGATTCGAAGACCCAAGCTGAAGCCTGTTTCCATTTGGGGGCTATTTTTCGACAGAACGTAGACAAACCTCGTTCAAAACTTTTCTTCGGGGTGCCTTGTCGTCAGAGTCCATGCTTCAGCCTGAGGAGACACTCAGTTTGGTGGTTTCCATTGGGGGATCCTTGTAGGCTAGTATTATTATGAATTTTTAATATTGATGGTTATTATAATATTATGGTTTGTTTGGTGTTTCGTTCTCGGAGATTGGCAGAGACAGGGCCTGGCAAAAGAGACATCATAACGAGGAGATGAGGGCGGAATGCGTAAAAGGCCTAATGATGGATATGGGTGGTTTGTGCATTTGGTTTTGGGATGCGCAGGCCAGTTGCTGACTGGGCAAAGGCGTCGGGCGCCACGCAGTTCCTCTTTGTGAGCAGTGCCGGAATTTACAAGACCTCAGACGAACCTCCACATGTTGAAGGGGTAAGCCAGGATTTTTTTTTTTCTCTTTTTGGGAGGGCATTATTTTTTTTTAATCTATACTAGAATTGAAATTAAAATGCGGCACAAGGTCTATACGCAGTCTAGCCAGGGGAAAAAAGTACTGGTATTACTGGGATCATTACCTCTTTTTTTTTCTTTTTTTTTTTTCTTTTTTTTTTCGGTTGGGGTGGTGGTGGTAGACTGGATCATCACCCAGCCTGCGTTACGCTATGGCTTTTGTGGAAATGTAAACATGTCCAGAATCCCTTCGCAAAAACCTTTTCCAGTGCTAGATCATGCCCAAAAAGTAAGGATTCCCATCGACGGAAAGTTAAAGTTAACACGCGGCTTTTCTATTTCTTTGTACAGATGTGAGTCCGACAAATGGATGGGGGAATTTTAAAAAAGTTATACGATAAATACGTGGGTAGATCGGCGGGTAGTGGAGTGGAGAGAGACTTGACTACTAAAAAAAAAGAAACATTCTTCTTCGTTTTTTGAACTCTTTTCCTAAACGGAGACAAAAAGAAGTGCGCTGAGGCAAAAACAGGTGTCATATGTCCAAAGGGGAGGTGAAGGTTGTCCCAACATCCTTTCCCCCTCCTGCCCCCCCCCCCCCCCCCCC